TAACTGACCGTACGTTTATGTGGTTGAGTATCAATTCAGTAACTGTCCGAATGTGTATGTGGTTGAGTATCAATTCAGTAATTGTCCGTACGTTTATATGGTTGAGTATCAATTTAGTAACTGTCCGTACGTGTATGTGGTTGAGTATCAATTCAGTAACTGTCCGTACGTGTATGTTGTTGAGTATCAATTCAGTAACTGTCCGAATGTGTATGTGGTTGAGTATCAATTCAGTAATTGTCCAAATGTGTATGTGGTTGAGTATCAACTCAGTAACTGACCGTACGTTTATTTGGTTGAGTTTCAATTCAGTAACTGTCCGTACGTGTATGTGGTTGAGTATCAATTCAGTAACTGTCCGTACGTGTATGTGGTTGAGTATCAATTCAGTAACTGTCCGTACGTGTATGTTGTTGAGTATCAATTCAGTAACTGTCCGTATGTGTATGTGGTTGAGTATCAATTCAGTAACTGTCCGAATGTGTATGTGGTTGAGTATCAACTCAGTAACTGACCGTACGTTTATATGGTTGAGTATCAATTCAGTAACTGTCCATACGTGTATGTGGTTGAGTATCAATTCAGTAACTGTCCGTACGTGTATGTTGTTGAGTATCAATTCAGTAATTGTCCGAATGTGTATGTGGTTGAGTATCAATTCAGTAACTGTCCGAATGTGTATGTGGTTGAGTATCAATTCAGTAATTGTCCAAATGTGTATGTGGTTGAGTATCAACTCAGTAACTGACCGTACGTTTATATGGTTGAGTATCAATTCAGTAACTGTCCATACGTGTATGTGGTTGAGTATCAATTCAGTAACTGTCCGTACGTGTATGTTGTTGAGTATCAATTCAGTAATTGTCCGAATGTGTATGTGGTTGAGTATCAACTCAGTAACTGACCGTACGTTTATGTGGTTGAGTATCAATTCAGTAACTGTCCGAATGTGTATGTGGTTGAGTATCAATTCAGTAATTGTCCGTACGTTTATATGGTTGAGTATCAATTTAGTAACTGTCCGTACGTGTATGTGGTTGAGTATCAATTCAGTAACTGTCCGTACGTGTATGTTGTTGAGTATCAATTGAGTAACTGTCCGAATGTGTATGTGGTTGAGTATCAATTCAGTAATTGTCCAAATGTGTATGTGGTTGAGTATCAACTCAGTAACTGACCGTACGTTTATTTGGTTGAGTATCAATTCAGTAACTGTCCGTACGTGTATGTGGTTGAGTATCAATTCAGTAACTGTCCGTAAGTGTATGTGGTTGAGTATCAATTCAGTAACTGTCCGTACGTGTATGTGGTTGAGTATCAATTCAGTAACTGTCCGAATGTGTATGTGGTTGAGTATCAATTCAGTAATTGTCCAAATGTGTATGTGGTTGAGTATCAACTCAGTAACTGACCGTACGTTTATATGGTTGAGTATCAATTCAGTAACTGTCCATACGTGTATGTGGTTGAGTATCAATTCAGTAACTGTCCGTACGTGTATGTTGTTGAGTATCAATTCAGTAATTGTCCGAATGTGTATGTGGTTGAGTATCAACTCAGTAACTGACCGTACGTTTATGTGGTTGAGTATCAATTCAGTAACTGTCCGAATGTGTATGTGGTTGAGTATCAATTCAGTAACTGTCCGTACGTTTATATGGTTGAGTATCAATTTAGTAACTGTCGGTACGTGTATGTGGTTGAGTATCAATTCAGTAACTGTCCATACGTGTATGTGGTTGAGTATCAATTCAGTAACTATCTGTCTGTTTATATGGTTGAGTATGAATTCAGTAACTATCCGAACTTCTATTTGGTTGAGTACCAATTCAGTAACTGACCGTACGTGTATGTGGTTGAGTATCAATTCAGTAACTGTTCGTACATGTATGTGGTTGAGTATCAGTTCAGTAACTCTCCGTACATGTATGTGGTTGAGTATCAGTTCAGTAACTATCCGGACGTGTATGTGGTTGAGTATCAATTCAGTAATTGTCCGTACGTGTATGTGGTTGAGTATCAGTTCAGTAACATGCCTGACAACATTCGGTCCGGTTCATCAGATGGCTGAGGCTCATTTCGCAGCCTGGCGTCTTTTCGTTCGTTCGGTTGGATGGTTGAGTATTACTTCAGTGATATGAAACGGGTGTGATACATGTACACACGTGTTCTCAGCCGAAGACGTTAAACGGTTATTCATGACCACCAACGATGGTATGTTTGCATGTACATGTCATCGCAAATGACTTAATAAAGGGAACATTTACATTTTGAAATGTGGTTCAGTACCTTGTGTTATGAGACAACTGAATTGCGTTTGAAGTGGTTTGGAAATGATTAATACTTCGCTTCAATGCACTCAGTAACAATTCCAAACACAATTACACAGCAAACAACATTCCTTTTCAAAAGCGCACTCAGCCTTGTGATCCGTGGAGATCTGGGTTAGAATTGGTCTTCAGTAACCCATGCTTGTCGTAAGAGGCGACAAACGGGGTCGGGTGGTCAGGCTCGCTGATTTGGTTGACACATGTCATCGTATCCCAGTTGCGTAGATCGATGTTCATGATGTTGATCACTGGATTGTCTGGTCCAGACTCGATTATTTACAGACCGCCGCCATGTAGCTGGAATATTGCTGGGTGGGGTCTTAAACAAAAAACACAAACAACAACATCCATTGGTCAGGTCTGAACCATGTGATCGTGTGTATGAATCCAGGTTTAATCTGATGGTTTTTTTGGACTTTTTAGCATCATACGCTACTGCGTTAAACCTAACTCAACTCACTCAGCTCATCCCTTTTCGGTACCTTGGTAAAATAATATTTACATTCGAATGAGCATTATAATTCAGAACGTTACTTGACGTGGTACGTTCCAGCATTGTGATAATGTACTTAGCGATATATGCTGAACCGTCGTTCCCTCGTTCGATTATGTCCAGACAAACGGAAAGCAATGATTCAAGTACGACTTTCGAAACTGATACTTATCAACCTTCCTACAGAACCAGGGCAAACAAATTGTTGATGAACACACACATTGTATCGTGTTGATTCCCTCTTTGAAACGCTAACGCTAATAAATCTCCACGTACTAAATTATGAAGTCAGCACATGAATACAATTTTACTGACACGGAATTTGATTTACAATCATAAAATGCAACACAGTGGGTCAAGTACATCACACGACCAATAAATAACAAGCCCTTTACAAACGTCAGTCACTTATGAATGTCCAGAATTTGTTCCAATAACTTGTCATGAATGACCTCGCTACATGTTACCAGTCCTTGTGTCTAGCTGGGACCAGAAACGACTCGGGACGGACATTTTGTTCTGTTTTTCGAGGGATGAATATAGTTCCAGTTACAATGTAAGACATGTTATATTTGGTAATACACATTCCATGTTAAAGGTCACATGCAACGTAAAACACAACTTTGCAGATTCTGATACCTTTCGGTATGGACTTACCGAAACAAAGCGTCAAAAATGCAAATTCAACTTATAAAGTTGAAAAATAACGCGATGAAAAAAAACGCGCGAAATCGGAGTTCAAACGTTTCGCTAATTTTCCCCCGACTTTTCTGGGGAACACGGGTTTCAACAGCTGGGCTGCGCTCATAGCACGTGCACAGTGAAATAGGTTCGCGCAACTTGGAAGCGGGCTGTCTGGTGAATACTCGGTGAAGGCTTTGGTGTGAGCTATTTTCATAATGTTTTGTTGATATCTCACAGGCGCGAGCTTTTTATATGTTATGACAGTAAATAAACTGTTAATATAATTTCATTTGTCTATTTCACCACACGTTCTTCTTAACGAGTCACTTTCTCAGTTCGATACTTAAAAGCAATGTCATTATTTAGCGTTGACACAATTTCTAGCTGTGATATAGATATGTCGATGTCACAGACAAAACTCAATGTCTTGTTTTATTGACACCTGTGTGTCTGCCTGCCTGTCTGCTAATGACAATATTCAATACACAACTGCGATCACTGACCACATGCAATTTTAACTTAACACCAATCAGGCTATACACCATAAACAAAACGCATTGATTTATGGCCCGAGTTCGGTCTCTGTCACATTATGTAATTACACAGACAGGCAGGTGTGATACTTGAACACATGACATGTTATGATGTCTGTTGATTGCAAAATGTTATACACAAAAAAATGAGCATGTATTTACAAAACCCAACATCTCTATATATACACACACAATGAGCCGTGAAGCCGGCATCTGCTAATGAACCAGCCGTTACACTTGAGTGCACACCCACCCGCTCTGACTGGGTTCGGTATCCGGCTACTTCGTTTCGAGGGAGGTAAACCCAAGTACAAAATATTGCACTTTTGATTTGCGATTATACGCTTATAATTTTGTTTATTTGTTTTTTCATAATCAGCAATGCATATTATATGTCATGAAGAAGTGATAATTGTGTTTTAATTATGTTTGATTTTTTTGGTTGCATGTGACCTTTAAGTACAGATCCTAGCACTGTTGTTGGGTTGAGTCCCATCCGAGATTCGAACCCACACAATTCCAGTTACAATCATCAGTCATTAATGTCCTATAAAGTCTCACATGTATTCATGATGCAATTAGTCGAGATGGCTCTACAGTTGCAGCGAGTTTCATTATAATCTCGGTAGCATACGAGATATTTCCTTTATATTACTTTACTAACAAGCATCAGCATCTATGCTCTTGTACACAGCAAGCGCGCCACTGTGGCGTTCTATGTTATCATGACCCCTTGATTGTTTCGATCGGTTTTAGATCGCTGTCGCATGGCAGGAACACTGCGCTAATGGTAGAGCAAGTACCCTTTGTCATCACTGATATTCAGTGGAACGATCATATAATTGTTGCCGCTGTTTTGTATTTTACATCCATTGGAATATGCTTTAACGGATAATCGAGACTGGTTATTCACTGGCATTGATGTGTTGTTTATATATATGTTCAATTGGTGTGTTTCAGGAGCCTGTTGAAAACTACAATTGGATCATAATCAACACTAATGACTCTTTTGGTTGGTATCTGAGTTACCTGTTTCTAATTTTCCTTGCTGATAATATTCATATTCATATTATTATTGTTACGACGATAAAGGCTCAATTCAGCATGAATTAGCATAGATTAGTTTAGCAAAATTCTTCCAAATGGAACCTTTTGACTGGAACGGTTTATACTCTGACAATCTGACATGGCGGTAAATCAGAAACATCCTGCCAGTTCATTGCTACGAAAGTCTAAGTTGCAACCTTTGTAGCATAACGTATTTTCCCCTTTACTTCGAATAATTTCTCTTTGCTTCGAGTATTTTCTCATTACTTCAACTTTCGTTAAAAACATGAAATTTCGGGTATTTTCTCCGATTATTTTCTCGTTGCTTCGAGTATCTTCTCGTCATTTCAAATATTTTTTGGAAATTTCGAGTATTTTCCTTGGTCGCTCGGCCATCACACCAGCATGGGAAAATAAATGTTAAATTTGGCGAGTGGATTTCTTTTCCAGAAATTGCAATTTATAATTCCACAACCTTAAAGGATTTCTAAAAAGGTTAAACACTATGCATTTTTATTACATAATGCCATTCAAACATGAATATATACCATATCTGCACCATCCATTTACGAAAAATAGTCGTAAAAATCATAAATATGGACCAAAACTAAAACCACTGTAGCCCCGCCCACTCGTATGCATATTTTGTATTTTTTGCGGTCTGCCGTCTGTGGGTGTGACGTCATACCCGAGAGTCCGCTCAGTGTGTTGACATTTCAGTAGCGAATACGCCATCGAGTTGAAAGTGACACAAAGCGCAATATTTTGAATGAAACGTTGTTGTGATTATGTATTAGAAACTGACAACTGCACTTCGAATTTTGATGATTATTCAACTGCGTAAACAACACGGATGTATCGATACATTTCCTGAGAAATTCTGTTTGACAAGAGGAAGGGCATAGATTGTTTACTGTCGTCGTGCGGATTTTGTGAACACCTCCAAGCATGGTCATCTGTGTTCGTTACACTTTTTGAAGAAGTGCTATGAAAGAGACCTAACCTTTGACGAAATATGGATACGAATAGGCAAAACTTAAACTTTACAAGAATGCTCTATATCGGTCAATCCTTTCGACATTCCATACAAACACAGAGGCCGAAATGTCAACTTGGAACTGAGACCAAGAGAGTTGCATTCCGGACGCTACATTGGTTGCAGGTGAGTGTTAAGATGTAGTTGTTTTGGAGCAACATAAACACTCCAGTAGCTAGCTATATAAAGCAATAGTTAATGAAAAAGTACGTCATAATTTGCGCTCATGTCCTATTTTCGATCAGAGGTATATTTTCACAGCCACTGTCACTGTTACTCAGTAGGGCCAAGTCATCTATTTCCCGAGACGGGTGTGTTGTGGTGTGAGTGTGTGTGGAGGAATTAAGATGGGTGTGTGCATGGACAAATGAGAACTTGCAACATATGGTTGCATTGGTGAGAGACAGCACATAATTATTAAAACATAATTAAAAATGAGTCATATCAGATAATTATCCACCAGGGACTGGTCCCCTACCGTGTAAAAATGGTATTTGAATTGTGTGTGTGCGTGTGTGTTAGGGTATGATTAAAATGTTGACTCTCACACTTTATCTCTTTAAGGCAATGTACAATAAATAAGACGAAAATGACTGCTCTGCACTGGCATAAAACTTAGGTATTTATGGACCCCTTGTAAAAACATCATGGAAGCTGTATATATAGGTAACTTTAAACCACTTTCAAAAATAGGAAACCAGGGAAATATGTTCATTCAGATAATGTATTTCTTTGTGGGTTTTGTTTTTGGCAAATGTAAAAATGCTACTTTAATGCTATTTTTTAGGATGTACATGGCAGCATTTCACATCAATGAAAACAGCCTAAATACCCTAGAAGTGACCAAGACTTGAGAACCAAAGTAGGCAATCAGCTACCCCTAGGCCTAAACCAAGAGGTCAAGCCATTGAACAAGAAACCAACAGGTGGTAAATATAATTCAGACAATCAATAATTATTTGTTGAACTGGTGCAATCCATTTTGAAAAAACCCACTGTTCCTATTGCTGCATATTTCCCCCTAACTAATGAGTCAACACTCGGTTTTGTTTGCAAAGACACTGGTTTTTAATCCTTATATCTATTTTTCCTCTCAGCATTTGTTAAGACAAAAGTACTTACTTTTTTAGTGCAGATTTCAAAGAAAATTATTATTATGGTTGCCAAAACAAAATATACTGAAATTGTGTTACAAAATGTAATTCAATGTAAAATTTATTCACAGAGTATGTGGAATTCCTACTCAGGGCCATTCTTGAGAGAAGAAAGTTTCCTTACTACAGACTTGCAGGACACAACAGCCTATTTTTCCAGGATATTCTGCTAGACACTTTCATTTATTACTAGTAAACAGGAACTGGTGAATTCTCAGACATCAAGATATAATAAAATCATGTATATGTGTCTAGGGTGTGAACTGAAACCAGTTGTGCCTGATGTCTTAAGATCTATTGTATTCGTCTGTTTGAATCCTGGGACTTGTTCAGATGGTAAATGTTTCCAAATTGCAGTCACCACTGTGTCACATGGTGTTATTGGAGATCTTGTTTTCTTAGGCTTTTACCAGTCCATCCAGTTAATTCACACGCACGTCTTTGCCTTCATGATGTTGGTGTACACACTGTATTCATTATTTTGTCATAAATAGTTTGTATGCAAATAAATTATTTGTTTTAATTTTTGTGTGCTGGTTTCTTGATTTGATTGATGGTCTTTCTTTGGGACTGATCACACTTTACACATTACTACTAGAACACAATGAAGGCTTTTCTTTTCACTAGCTGACAGTTACAGAGAAAGATAAGGATTTGTCAGTTCTATTTTTTTTTGTATGTATATTTATTTATTATATCTATTATCAGCTGTTAAGGAGGTTACAGGTCTTTATCATTTTACATTTTATGTATGTTTTGCAGATTTATATGACTAAGTATCACAACATATAACCAATGCTTTACACGTGTATGGAAATTGAAAATGTAATAAAACTGATGTTTGATTTACCATATCGATCAGAGATGATACACCGACTTCTCCGAAAACAATTCTCTACAATACAGTAGTGAGATCGAACTTATCGACTTCCGTAACGGTACATATTTCATAGGAAAGATTATCACTATACTAAAACCTTTACAGATAAATTTAATCAGAAGACACATTTTATGAAATAGAGCTGAAAATTACTCAATAACCTTCATAAATCATGAACCTCGAACGTAACTATTATAGTGTTTACCTTCCCATACAGAGGTATACCGGAAGACAGGCTCAGCACAATGATCGAACATTGCCGTTATCATGACTGCAAATTTTACCGTGACCGCGGAAAAATGAATTCAGTATCTAACCAGATTTCCATGAACGTGTGATAGGCAAGTGACTTTCATACCAGTCTGCAGTAGGTCTATTCAAAACATAGTCATATCGGGATCGTCCCACGGCTGTATGTTGTCAACTGGTGCAATCGTCGTCAGTATTCCTGTCGGTCTTGCCGCTAGAAATACTTTCAAATTGAAAAGGTATGTGATATTATCTGTATCTAGTATGCCATCCAATTCCAGGGTTGACTTCGTGGATTGATTTATTTGCTAAACTGGAAGCAGACCTCAGTAAGCGAACAGGCTCGGTACCACTGTATTTTCCGTGTGTTGATGTAGCGACTCTCGGGTATGACGTCACGGGACCACGTGACCATCTACCCCATTATCTTGCGTAATCGTGAAATGCTGTCGAGGGAGGTACGTTTTATATTCCTAATACAAGCTGTATAATGAAATATTACCGTTTTAACTGTATTTTGTGATTATTGTATATACCCAGGGGTTCATTAAGAGCGAAAATAAACAATGTGAAGAGACCTTTTTAAAAATCCTTTAAGCAGTAAGTTCATTCAAGTGGATACAAAATAAAATAGACAACCGATTAATATGATGAAAGTATGATTTATATTGTGGTAACTTATAACTGACGAAAACACATATTTTTTCAACGGCCCCTCAAAAGCAAACAAATGTGATCCTATTGAACTAATAACAAAATCATGGCCTTTCAATAATAAGGTTCTTACAGGCAACGAGCGAGCGTACCGACTGTTACCGGAATAGCAGTAAACCCTTATCACCGTTTTACTTCTTACGCACTACAGGAAAGATGTTTCAAGACTTTGGCCATGAGGTTTTGAACTGATTTTACCTATGGAGTCTCTGAATGGATCACTACAAAAGGATCAGTTCCTGGAGCAGTAGACGTAGATCATTTTGGGAACATTTTTAAACACATCAAAGAGAGGTAGCGGTTAATAAGAGAGGAAATAAACACAAGACCGAAGAAGCCTTTGTATCATCAACGCTTAGTGGGAATTTAAAAGCGGCGTGAATTTCATCACTTCATCTGTCCGGCAGGTATTCTATGGGTACAGGAACTTCATGATCAGTTGCTGAATCTATGTTTTGTTCAAATATGACCTTTGACGATTAAATACTAGCGGAAAGATGTTCTTGTGCATCAGTAACTATAAAGGAAAACAATACATTAACTCAAACCAAAGAACGATTTTGCAGCGGAACAATGTGTTGAGACAGATTCAACACATGTACACTTTATCTCTGGCTGTGAGAAAAGTGGGCTGAGTTTGCAAGTCAGGAGTGCTTTCGACCACCATAAGAAATTCCCAAGGTCGACAACGTATATAACTGCGGTCTGTAAATAGTCGAGTGGGATCAACATCATGAGCATCGATCTATCAAATGCGTTACGATGACATGTGTCAACCAGGTGGGCAGGCTTGACCACCACCAGATCACGTTAGTCGTAGCTTAGCCTTCCTGAAGACCAAGTCTCACAGGTATCATTCATTTTGTTAGGTTGCACCCTGAATGAACCCTGAATGTGTGACACATTCCCTGCTCAATTAGATGTATGCATATATAGACGGTGCAATTTCAGGTTCATCATGGTTAATTATGACAAAGTGATTGTATCTAACCAATCCATGGTAAATATATTTTGATGTGAAGTTTTATGGTACACAAAATTTCTTTCCGCTAGTATCTTTATGTGCATAGTTAAATACCTTTACCTGTGATATTTGTTTAACATGTTACTGGGTTGTGTAATGTACAGGTGAAAAGATTTGTACTATTATGCATAATGTTTGCATGGAATCAGGGGTATGGTTCTTAAAAACACAGGAACAAGGCATATCGTATAGTACGCCCTATCACTGCAGAAGCTACTGTATGTACGATGTTAATATGATATGAACATCCCCAACTTTGGAATTACTTTGTAAGATATTTATTTTGAATTAACATTTAACACGCTGATGTTATCAAAAAGGGTTCGCTGCTAAATGCATGATACATGTATGGCATACTTTGAGTGAGTGAGTGAGTATGGTTTTACGCAACTTTTAGCAATATTCCAGAAAAATCGCGGCGGGGAACACCAGAGATAGGCTTCACACATTACACTCATGTGGGGTTTCGAACCCGGGTCTTCGGCGTGACGAGCGAACGCTTTAACCACTAGCCTACCCCACCGCCCCGCATACTTTGAAGATCAATCTTTGGATATATGTTTAGATATCTGTGTTCAATTATCGCTTAACCAAGTAAACCAGTGCTCGGGTATTAATAAGTCTGAGACACGGTTCACATTAGGCCCATGACAAGATTTTCCTCTGTGGATTTGGTAAATAGTCAGTAAACAATCACTAAATCACGTAAGTGGCTGTTACATCAAAGCCTAGTGTAGGACTGCAGAATGCAACAACGGGATATATCACAGTACACGGACACTTTAATCGCTTGACAGACATCTCTTCATACACCAACCTGTATTGTTATCAAACATTTCTTGGTATGTTTTGTCTTCAGCAGGTGTTGATACTCCTTGGATGTGTTGCAGTCACGAGGCTTGTTGAGAAAACTACATCGATCAACTGTGCATCATCAACAGCACGCAACGGCATCAACAGCTATAGTACCGATTGTACATGGCCACAGAGAAGAAACTTAAGGAGTGAACTTATGAGATTCAAGAGAAATCCAACGTTCAAGGACGCACTTCTCTACAATATCCCCCAAAAGAGGGACAAGTTTAGAAAAAAACTTGAAAGAGACTTTGGGGTGCTATCGATCAGACAACCTAGGACGACATATATGTTTGATGATCCAACGAAAAGGTGCACGGGGTATTGGCACGAAGACTATTTCGACATATGTCGTAAAATGGATGTTTTGACGTACAGTAGGTGGCGATATCCGCGACGCATGCATGAATACAAATGTTGTCCAGCGCCGAAAGACCAGGGAGGCCATTGCAGGCCCGTCACCATTCCTATACACGTCCTACAGGTCATCGACAGACATTGTCCGTGCGTTGTATGGGATTTCTATTTTAAAACTGTAGGGTGTTCGTATGAACCTGATAATTCAACAAGTTTCCGGAATACGACCTAGGCTTGTGCACTCGATATAAAGACGTCTTGCCTTGTGGCTGAGCTGCTTAGTAGTAGGCCTAACAATAGTGTTTGGATGTAATTATTGGGAGCTTACAGTTGACAAGCTCAGAAGAATCGAAAGGAACGAGTTTCCAGAAGGATGTTTTTGTGTGACGTTGCTAATGACACATCTACAATGTGAACTGTTTGTCAGAGGTCGACCTAATGACTTAAAACCTCAGACTGATATATCACAATCGATATGTGAATTGTGTTTCGTTCCAACACGCTGTACCCAGCCGATACTACAGGTACAATGTGCAACAGTTGCATACCATATAACACTGCCTCACGACAACTAATATTCTACAATGTCGTGAATACTCCGATACGTTCCCTGGTAGTGCAGGAATTACGCCGACCAAACCACACGGTTATTGCTCCCCCGAAGACACTGTGGCAATATCGACCCTGATCGATGAATGGTCGAGATTTATCGTGCATGCAAACGAACTCGCAAACCAAGAACGCCGGTGTTAGGTTGTTAGGTTGATGATGGACATTTTAAGGAGCCACCTATCACTGGAATGACTATTAATTGCACTGGTTGACATAACATCTATCGTATGAGAGAAAGTTGAAGGGTATTCAAGATCGGACACATCATGTAATATATTCGTGTGCTGGCTACCTATAAGCCAAATAAACGAGAGATGCAAATCTCAGCAGGTACGGGTTCCATTGCAAGGGATGTTAAGGTCCGATAAAGTCACATGATACAATATCAATTTTACGAAAAGGTATTAGTGACACATACCTTTGTGCTAATTACCTATACCTTCGTACATAGTGGCCAATTCTTCGGGCACATCAACCATGACACCCTTCAATCATTTACTAAATCCTTGGCAAAGTGGGCACTTCGATGGCTAGAGTACACATAAGATAACCAACGAATAAAACTGTCGCTGAATTTTAATTCGCTGAATCAAATCTAACGTTATATGTCAGTTTATATCCACGTGCACATGCACACGTATGTCAGTATGCCCCAACATCAATGTGCAGCTGCACACATGCACCTCTTCACCTGCGTATTGACACTCACATTTAGGCATACACATAGATACATATTCATCAACCAAGCCCCAAACGTACACACAAACCTGTTTTTCATGATTTTGAATAAGTGCATATCGTCCCTGTGATTTTACTAATTCAAACATGCGTGCAACAATAACACAATGAATCAGGGTGTTGGTCATGGTGAACTACTTGATTACTCCAGGTAAACATTGAGTTGTATCCTGGCACATGTATTTTACCACAATGCTGTCTACACAGAGCTGCAAAGTTTTGTCAGTCATACATTCACTTTTGCAAGCATGGAGAGTATCGGTTTCGCGAAGTTCAAATATGAACGTAGACCTTGCGTTTGTGTTCATTTAAACGTTCAGTTTGTTTGTACAAACACATTGTAATTTTACTGTAACATATAGGACATCTCATTTGCAGATTGTTGCCCTCCATATAGCTGTTTCATGTTACAATGTTTTCTATCAAGTGTGTATTCCATGAAAAAGGTGAATAATTTGCCGAATAACTGTCTCATTTCATGTTATTGTTTCCAATAAAAGATGTTTAAGGAATCACATTTTTCGTTATGTGTACTTTAAGAAGTGACGTTTACCTTGAAACGGCATGTATTGAATGTTTTGCCTTCACTCTGTCTATGGAAATCTTCTTTGACCTCACAGGAGGTGAATGCTAATTTTGGACTTGTGTTTGTTTACAAGCTTAAGGATAGGCCGCTGCAAGAAAAATCTTTCACTGTCCCTATATTTTACAAGCATTCAAGATTGAAGGGATTCGTAGATGTATTGTGTATTTACTCGTGCTTGGAATTCCCAAGAATACAGTCACGTAAAAAACGTATGGACAGCTAAATTTGTCGTTAATTGGCCTAAGAGTGTCAGTTTCGCGGTCATGTGACCGACCTCTTGTCTAGTGGAAACGCAGTAGTTCATGTAAACGTTTCATTTTACAAACTAAATAATAACAAAAAACATAATTGAAAAATATTAAAAATTTAAGTTGGTATATCGGATTTGATAATTATATTCCACATGAAACCTTGATTAATGGCGAAGCAGATGTGTATATGGTTCCTGGGGCGGTGGGGTAGCCTAATGGTCAAAGCGTTCGCTCGTCACGCCGAAGACCCGGGTTCGAAACCCCACATGGGCACAATGTGTGAAGCCCATTTCTTGTGTCACCCTCCGTGATGTTGCTGGAATATTGCTAAAAGCGGCGTAAAACCAAACTCAGTCAGTCAGTCAGTATATGGTTCCTTTAAATACTTGGTTTTAGCGTTTACGCTCAATACCAGCAAAAAGTTAGAAGTCATCACACAAAATGCTTCTTCTTCTAGATCAATCAATGCTCTTTCAGTCTGGGTACAGAGCTCATGATGCCACATGTTCTCACTTCTGTTGCTCTTCAGTATGGAAAATAATATAAACGTTTGAAAGAACATTTGGAATACCACACATCGTACAAAGAATCCTCGATAACATTTGATTCGTAAATTACCCGACTGTAAAACATTTTTTTTAAAATACAGTCAGATATAACTGCCATGTTGCATGTTGCTGTAGTAAGTCCTATTCGTAAGAATATATTATCTCTTCATAGTCCTGTAAAACAGGTATCTGGGGTATGTTAAACATTGGAAGCATTACAAGCATTACACATAAACAACAAAAGAGTATAGGAATCAATATAGGTAATATCATCCTGAATGATAAGTGGTACAACTTGAATATCCTTCAAGGTGACGAAATATCATAACCCACTCACTCATGTTTCAGATTCGAATGCTGGTCATCCATTTTGTCAGTTTGGTCTGGATTAACAGTCTAACAAATGGGAAGACCTACGTCGTGAATAAACGCCTATGCAATAGGCCAAATAAAAGACATTTGCATAAAAGACTGGTAAACTTTACGAAAAGTATACCCTATCTGCTACTGTACACCATCCCCGAGGTGAGGACACGAGCGAAATGGTACAAGCAGAAAGATCGCTTTCCTGAAACGATACCCAAAACTTTTGGTTTGGTGGAAAACATCAACAGAGACTCGGAGCCTTGTGTTAAATCTATTTTGTTAGAAGTCAATAGGCTAAGATATCCTTCAAAACAAACTTTTATTCAGTGCAGGAAACGCAATAAAGAGCTTGCGGGTTCATGTAACCTGGTGAAAATACCGGTAGCAGTTCTGAGGGTTATGTACCCGTGGGATGAAGATAGAGAGTGCGTGTATGTTCCGTATGTTGAGATGAGGACTGTTGGCTGTTCTTGGCAGCCATCTGATCCCGTGCCAGTAAGTAATTACACAAAAACCCCGAAAAGATGATGCCATCAAGTCCATCACACAATGTGAGGTGTAGAATCAGACTTCAAAGTTTGGGATTGAACCATTACTATCAGGTTTGAAGTTTTACATTTTCGCTTGACAAGGAGGATGTACAGCGATATGTGAACAACAGTGTCAACCACCATTAACCATTATAGACGGACGGCAGTGGTGCTTACAGATTAAAACACGGAAATCGCCGATGTTCTCGTGTAATATTGCCGGAGCTTCCAGATACTTTTCCAAACCGTGAAAGTAACGGCAGCAGAGTATGACCATCACCTGCACCTGCTACATTGCCACAGACTTCGAGGTAGCTGCCCAACGAACTTCTCAACAAGTGTTCCAGTGCCAGCTGAGGGGATGCCTGCTCCACTTCAGACAGGCCATATGGCGCAGCGTACAACGCTTTGGTCTCCAAACCTGGTTCCACAACGTACCATCTGTGAATCTGGTTGTGAGACTGGCATCTGCTTTGCTTCTTGTACGATTGTGTGACGAGTTGTGGCTGAGTGCTCTGGACGAAGCAGATCTCGGTGATCCAGCAGTACTCAACTTCACGACAACGTGACGGAGCCGTAGGTGGAGAGTGTGGGTCGAGTCACATAGAACCACTTCAATACCAGTGGTGCCAACAACCATCCATGGTGAAGGCTGGCACAGCAAGATGAGTAAGATGGGGACATCACATCCCACTATCTTCTCATTCATAAAATGAGCAGAGTAGCACAGAGGTTATTGTTACTTAGATCACATCAGGTGGCCGTTTGCCTCCTTGTAAGAGGAAGTACCGTGCTCTTGAAGATCTGCTTGAACTGATCTCCGGCGCCAGAACCCCGGTGGAATATGTTGACCTTTGTGTTACATCTGATTAGACTGTAGATATCAATGTTAATGTGAATAAGCTTGTGTTATATAATGTTTGCGTGAAACTTGTACATATGCTTTGTTGATATTCTGAAAAGCAAATGAAACATCACTTTTCAAACCAAATGCAAAATTTTGTTCTTACAAGGTAGTGCTTTTATTATGATTGTACAGTTTTGTTAACATGTTTTTCAATCCAAATTGACAGTTATTCAAACATGCGTTTTCTGATGAAAAAGCATTTCGACCAAACGCACCTAAGAAAGCAGACGTGGTAAAAGGTTCCGTATGACATTTGTGAAAATGAAAATGCACGTGCTTATTGTGATAAACCTACCAATAAAAAGCGAGTACCAGACTCGACTGAAATCATTCTTGTGCTGACACAATCGCCATACCACGACTTGGGAGAGATCAGAGGAACCAAGCCTCGCAAAGACATGAGGGCCTGTGGCCTTGGGACCATTGCACGTGCCCACGCTGCCAGAGCAACGCTGAACTTCCTAAGACAACATGGCATCCAAACCCTACAATGGCCTGCACTCAGTCCGGATTTTTAGTATGTACCCAAGTGCCTATGGCTTTCATCAGCCGGCTAATTCATTCCATGTACAGAAGGTGCAACGCCGTCATTGATGTCCATGGGGGCCACACACGATACTGACTGATATCCTAATGGTACCATTTTTGTCTGAACTCTAAATGTGATTCCCGAAAATGTGTTAATAATAATTGTTAGGTTTGAACTCAATCCGCTGTTTTGATTGTTAATTAGAGCGAATTAAAGTGTGTGGTCTAAGAAGACTCTATCGGTGTGGCGTGTCTTTTGCGGTTCAGTATATCTTTTTGCATTGATCTTGTCCAGTAAATATTACCTCAGAATGATATTGTCCTTTTTTCATATTTCATGCCAGTGGACTGCAGTGAATTTCCATATACACACACATACCTAACCAAAACAGTCAACCACATTAGATGAAACAGTCTATAACAAAAATTCATTGAACTGTATCCTCTAATTCAGGGTGGTGGCAAACCGAGACTAAACCAATATTTTTAGATGAGTCGTTTCTAGGCGCTTCTGGACAAACACAAATTCATTAAACTTTTCCCAATGACCACTATTGTGTTCTTAAACTGTTATTTTTCAAACCGTCCACTGAAGTGAATCCGTCGGTAAATCCAAAGAACGGCATATTTTAATGGTACGTCCGGAGTACTAATATGAATTTTATCATAATTTATCCTTCTGCATTAAACTTGATCTTCGACCTCGGAGTTGAAACGACTTTGACAAAAAATATAGTTGAAGCCGACGGAGACGAAGTCCTCGATAAACAGACGAAATCACTTAGATCCTCACTTAGATCCGATGGATTCTCCAGAAATATGGCATCATGTGGTAACGTAGGGTTCGGCGAAAGCAGTGAAGAACGGTGAGCTTTCGGAACAGATCGACAAACGTTTTAGATGACGACAGTCTGACTGGCTTTAGACACCCCTTTTCTCTTGGCACGTGACGTACGTTGATAGACAGCAAAGTCGCCATTGTCCAAGAGACGATGGCTACAACGACCAGACAAACTTCACAGTCCCAAGCAGTCAGTATACGCCATGTGAAGAGAAAATACGCTGAGAAAATACGTTTGTAGTTTGAGCAGACCTTCTGTTCATGTTATTCTCATCTTTCTCCATGCTTCGTCTCATTACCTGTAAGTTAGTAATAGATGTTATAACATCACCACCACAGAGGAAAATGTCTCTCTGAAAGGGCTTCCGCTGAGAGCCACGAGGTCAGCCAAGGAAAGACGCACGTTTTGCAAGGAATTCCTGTGACTGCCTACAGCAATTGCTGGGCTTTGGGTGTGCTCTTGCAAGGTGATACTGGACGCTGGAAGCTTTTGTCAGGGTCGTTTGAAGTCATCGTTCGAGGAGCAATGGAAAGTACAAACATGAGATTAGTGAGAGAATGTGAGAGAAGTATTACTAATGTACAAGTTATTGTAAAAGTTTTCAAATTACCACGTTAAGGATACAAAACTATACTTAGTGTTCACATGAGATGTATTCGTCAAACAGTCGCCTTACATGATCCAGGTATCATTCTCACTGTGTCCATTTTATTTGGGGTTTACATGATACGTAAACGAGTGTACACACACTCTTACCACACCATCATCCCGACATCTACAGATGCACCGTGGTCATTACGAAGACTTAGATTGCAGACAGGCGAACCTCACACATTTCGGCAAAGCGCCACCCAGCCACAAGCAGTATTATTCAAGCAAGAGGACGTAAGGCACCAGGTCAAGAGCTCCCTAAACATATTGTCTTAATGTCCTATACATAGAGACGTTATCTACTGGGATATCCGTCCTATAACACATCCTTTCTAAGTAAACTTCAGTTGACATTTGCTTTGAAAACAATTCCATTACATGTCATGAAAAAAATACATATCGCCAACGTATTGTTACCCGGCTCGTTATGGGATAATAAGTTTTAATCCTTAAAATAGCATGTATAATTCCTTAAAGTCAATGATCAGTCAAGGAGATGTTTCAACATTTATTGTGAGGCCAAGTGTGTTATTCATAAATACATATGCATAAAAGACATTCAAACAATAATCTAATATACAAATTTTGATGGAGAATTACGATCTCAAACGGTAGAGCTTGTATATATAACAATTTATAATATTTCTTCTTTCAACCTAACATTATATAATAATCATAATTGGGAATCATTCATACAAATCATTTTAACACAAATCACCATTATACCTCAGCTGTCGTCATATAACTCATATGTAAATGATATTTGCCACTGAACCCAATATTTACATTTGTTCACTATCAGCATATTAGTGATGTAAAGTACATCTCATGTGTCCATACATGAGTGCAATATAGGCACAACTAATCCATGACAGCACATCTAGTTCACTTACATATTCAAATAACGACTGAGATATATGCATGTCAATGTTCATGCAAATAAAAATGTACACATGATATTGCCACTAAAAACATATACATGATATTGCCACTTTCTATTCATAAATAATATATTCCAGTCATGACATTATCTGACATAATTCGTAGAGTTGTACCAAAGAACATACCTTAAAAGAGAATGTAGAATTCCTTAAAGTCAATGATCAGTCAAGGAGATGTTTCAACATTTATTGTGAGGTCAAGTGTGCCGATCGGAAATCACTGACCTCTTTTTATAGCCGAAAACATCACTGATCAATGTTGGAATTCTTTGCGATTGGCCAAAACGTATAATAGGGTAATTACGATTTGGTTGGTTGACATAGATCAGATATTTTTTACAAACAGTTATCGATTGGACAAGCCGAAACGAGTTTTGGAAGGGTAATCACGTGACCGTGACAGGATAGTTGCATCAGCTTAATTACGGTTTGTTTTACAACTCTTGTCTGGATTAGTGTTTATAGCTGACGTCACATGACCGTGTCGCAATGGTAATTGGCGTCAATTAGGTCAGATTTATTGCAGTTTGTTCCTACAGTTGTGGCCTGGTCTGCACGGTGGTCATTAAGAAATTTACTGTTGCAATAAACAATGGATTGAGTTTTAAGTTGACACTTTCAATGGTATATGCGAAGTGCGTTACATCAGCTTGAGCCATTACATGAAGTGACGTTTCAATATTACAACTCTTCAAAATGAAAGAAAAATTTGTGGCAAATATATACAAAATACATACATACAGATAAACATACACATATGAAGAATATAATGATAAATTGTGCGCTGTCACATTATTTCTGGTACTTTTATGTTCTTTCTGATCAGGCGTATATCCCGTTGTAATTTTGCTGCCCGCTCATTTCGTGAGGTTTGATCTTTCTGTTCATCATGACTTGGGTATTCTGTCTCTAGGAGATCGTTGATAAGGCATAAATAGTTGCATATAATAGTAATCAGTGAGTTGTCTGGTCCCTGCTCAATGATTTACAGGTCTCCATGATATTCCGTAACAATTCCGGATTGAACTACACCACTAAGATAGCTTACATATGTATAAGCAACAGTGCAGACATCAATGTGTACAGAAATGTTCAGCGTGTTAGATTCCACCCTGTAATATGTTCTATTGCATCATTGTTGAACAAAACCGTTACACATCATAGTGATCTGAAAGGATATGTGTGTCAAGTAAACATTTCGTTCGATTTACACAGTCACTGCGTGTCGTCAATTTTTCTAAATATCGAATGACTATAAAACGGATCCAAAGTATGTAGACCCTTTTAACTGTCGTGGTATGTCCCTTTGTCATATTGTAGCAATCAAACCGATCACAAGCGAATCTCCTGTACGTGTTGGAACCTGTGTTCATAGTTGAGACACGTTTCCAGGATTATGTGTAAGTTGCTGGTTTCCCAGCCTCTCCCGAGCTGTGGAATGTGCACCTAAATACCGCTTCTACCGGTTGGCTTCAGAAATAGCCATACCCAAATAAGTAGTATGTTAATGATTTGGTACATAGACGTCGTATCTCATCGACCATATTGACCTGACCAGCTATTTTAACCCTTGCTGTCTTTACTATTGGTCCAGTGAGAAATCAGTCAAAACACGGTTTCTCGTGGTGGTAATATTTGTATATATTTCCACTTTGATAAGATTAACCTGACTGTCAACAAATGGCTAACAGAATAATGATGATGATAATAATGATGATTATTATAATCGTTTTTGTTATTTTGATGTTCGAATACCGCACTTAAATGCAGCGTATCTGGTCCTTTACTAGTGGACCCGTCTGCTTTCAATTGAATATTTTCAATTAAATACTCTCTGAGGAGTATACCTAAGCCGGCTTTTGGGACGTTAGTTGGTTTAAACCTCCAACATGACTCTAGTTAGAATTTAGATCGCTCACCCACTACGCACCCGATCCGGGTTTTCCATTATATTTAAGTCCATACGTGGAGGTATTTTTACACGGTCTATACAGATATATGGCGTGAGTTGAAGCTGTGGACAGTATCTGAGCCTTGGTGTCAAAGGATAGGAAGCTTAATGAACAACTGGCTACATGTAGGTACACACTTGTTAATGTAATTGTGAATAAGTTTTCAGCTTAGTATACATTTTTTCATTACTTTGTGCGCATATTTGTACATAATGATGCGTACATATTTGAGTTCACCTGCGTTTTTGTCTATTGCTTGACATTAACCTAGTTTTTGATGGGCATTTAAATATTCGATTATTCGATATTATTAACATCATTACATTTGGTTCTTGGATATTTTTGGTTTTTTTAACAGGTGAACAACTGGAATGGTATGTGTGTTATATTTAGTGAATTATGTATACAAAGGGTAATATGATCAGTATAATTAACGAGGTGTGGATGAAGGCTTTGTGAAAACAGAGTGATTGCGTCAGGTGTAATGACAAAGCGTAGGCTACGATAACAACACGGTATTGGTAGGTGGATGCCTGGGTCATGTCTCTTGATTATTGGACTTTCTGTTCCTGATGTTGTGCCGTCGTGTCATGATGTTGTGGTTGGCGTTTGTGATTTTTTGCTAATTTTTTTAGGTTATGGCTCATGTAGGGGATGTCATGGTTAATGTTTGGGATGTTATGGCTCATATTAGAGAAGTTATGGCTAATGTTTGGGATGTTATGGCTCGTGTTAGAGATGGTAAGGCTAATGTTTGGGATGTTATGGCATAGGTTGGAGATGTTATGGCTAATGTTTGGGATGTTATGGCTAATGTTGGGGATGTTATGGCTAATGTTGGAGATGTTATGGCATAGGTTTGAGATGTTATGGCTAATGTTTGGAGATGTTATGGCTAATGTTTGGGATGTTATGGCTAATGTTTGGGATGTTATGGCTTATGTTGGAGATGTTATTGCTAATGTTTGGGATGTTATGGCTTATGTTTGGGATGCTATGGCTAATGTTTGGGATGTAATGGCTCATGGTGGAGATGTTATGGCTAATGTTTTGGATGTTATGGCTCATGGTGGAGATGTTATGACTAATGTTTGGGATGTTATGGCTAATGTTTGGGATGTTATGGCTAATGTTTGGGATGTTATGGCTAATGTTTGGGATGTTATGGCTCATGTCTGGGATGGTATGGCTAATGTTGGAGATGTTGTAGCTGAGTATGTAATGGTATGACTCATGATAAAGGCATCTTGCCAGAGGATACACTCTCGGTGTGCTGATTTAGGAATGGAAGACGTCATTACTGATTAATCAACATGTCTCGTGTTCCTTGATTCCAGTGGCATTCTCCTCTTAATATAGTATACACGACCTTGAACCATGCTTATTATATGTGACGTTGGACACCGTATTGATCATGATGTCCACAGTGTCAATGACCTATTTAATCGTCTGTGTACATACATAATTATATATGTTTCTTTTCAGATAACCCTTACAACTGTATTCCTAGTCGGAACAGTGTTCGAGTACACTGTCACAGGAAGGCGCACGCTCAAGAATGAATGTCTGTGTAACCCACGCACGGAAACATATTTGTACAAGAAAATTATAAACTATACGAAAACACAGCCGCCCATTCTTATATTCACAATACCGAAAGTGAAGAACCGTTTTGATCCTGTTTGGAAGGACGCCCTGAAAGATGTCCCTAAAACAGATCCCTGGATTGCTGAGCTCTCCTGGAGTAGGAAGAACAGGATCCTCAAGGACGAGAGACATCCCTGTGCAACGTCAATAATGATGAACGTTGACAATTTGAGATTTCCGGGAACTATAAACTTTGTTCAATGTCGTAAAACCAGGTCAGGAAGTGCCGGTACGTGTGTGGATGTGAGTGAACCAGTTGTTGTTCTGAGAATTAGGAACCCAAGACAGAAGGGACGTAAGTGTCGATATGTGGCTACCATTGAATCGAGGGTAGTAGGATGTTCTTGGGTACCAGATAAACACCAAAAAGGAAATGCATATAAACACACGAATGAATGAAAGCATTTGGCAGTTAATGGAGAAGGAGGATGACTGATAACATTTTCAAGAAGTGAATGGTATAACGCGTGTGCCTGAATTCGACAGGAATGTGTTTGTGGTTGTATTGCGTGTTTAGTCTGGGAAATGGCATGAATTGTTGACACTGATTATGTTTTCCATTTCATAAGACTGCTCCTGTGATAGTATGATAGCACTGAAAACATTCTGAACGACCAACATGACTAATTGGATGGAAAAGCCAGTGCATAGAATATTGTCACCGCTGGACCTTTCCACGACAAGTTTGAAAGCAAGGATGAAATATCAATACAGTGACCTCTGGATAAATTGAACAAGCTTTAGGGCTACTAGCTTCCTGGTGTTGTCTGACTAACCATTAGATTACGAAAAATCACAACATATATGACATATAAGTGAGTAATATGAGTACAATCACTGTGTCCATCCCTACAGGACTGTACCATTAGTATACATGCCTATTGACGACATCAACTCGGGGGATTCTTCATTCTTCCCAAAATGCGCTATGACGTTGTGCTATAAATAGCTGTGAAAACCCGGTTTAATATTTACAGAAACACATAAGATCATGATCACGTTTTATCATGATCGGAATGTTTATGCCTGGTTTCTGTGTTACCAAAGAACGATTTTCTAACTTTGTTTGTTGTATCTGACTTTCTGCTATTAATGTTTCCAAATCAGGTAACACTTTACAAAGGAACAAACGCAACAGTGAAGCTATGCATAGAATGATGTTATGCTTGACTGCCGTTCTGTGATACATTGTTTGCATTTTTTATCTCATAGTACAACCGTTTACTGTTGCCTTACCCAGAGGCGTGGGAGTTTGTTCATAATGTACGATCAGTTATTCTCGATTACGTGCTGTCCACTGGAGTAAGTCTATGTAAAGTGTTACATTAGAACTCACAAAGGATGTACGGGTGATGCGGTTGATGTCAGCCGAATATATACATGTAAACGCATCATTTCCTTTAACACACGAGGGGCGGAAGGTTAGCCTAGTGTGTAAAGCGTTCGCTCGTCACGTTGAAGACCCGGGTTCGATTCCCCACATGGATACAATGTGTGAAGCCCAATTTTGGTGTCCCCCGCCGTGATATAGCCGGAATATTGCTAAAAGAGGCATAAAACCATACTCACTCGCTCACTTTAACACACGAAACTTACACGTATGCAAACGGTGCGTTACTGTTTTTAAAAAAAACCCCTTTAAGATCAATGTTGTCACAGTAATTGCTTCTTCGTTTGGATTTATTCTATGTTATACTAACCTCACAGTTACGACCTGTTCATCAATGTTGTTACTTTTACTTCTCTGGCATTATATGTGAGTCACTAATCATATAAAGTGGTCATTGTTATAACATGTAAGGCTTTATTGTTATATGTTATCATTGATGTAATAAACCATTTACTGATGTTACAACACCCTTTTATCATTACATGTATTTTACTGATGTTGCTCGAGCATGTACAACATGCACTGTTGTTTTGCCCTGTTGTTACATGTGCGCCATCGTTGTTTCAGGAACGTCATTGTTGTACATAAAATGCTTTTGATTGGTACGTCACTCGGTTTATGGGTGACTCTAATAACTTGCATTTGGCTGTTGTTACTTGTGCATATGACAAATTCAGTTCGTTGCTATTACAATGGAAGATCCGTACGGTTTTGCATAGGTTTGTTTGCAGGTTTATCACATACTCGTGCTCAAGGATATACACGTATGAGATTTGAATAATTGCCAACGTTTCTCCCATATTTATTAAGCTAAACCACTATGACTGACTACATATCAAAGTGATATTAAGCACAACTCTCTCATCCAGTTTTGGGATTCATAATGAAGCCATTTTGTGTCGCTCGTAAAAATATTAATAATATCAATTTCCTTATTACCCCGTGCATTCTTCAGTTCACACTTAGTAATAGGATGTGAAATCGGTCTGCGACATCAGTATGGCTGATGATGGTTATCTGTCATTAAACTAAATTTCCCGCTCTACAAGGAGATGAAAACCGGAGGGCTTGCATGTTAAATATGTCTGTGAATTTGGAGCAGGTTTATGGAATAAATGTTCATGGTCGTCCTCACATAGGGCACAGCTCGATCAGTTAGAAGCCAGGCTTTCAGAAATTGAGCCCAAACATTCAATTCACTTGCTACAGGCCACCAGAGTTACAGACCAGAGGTTTAGACGTCGTCTGCATACAGCCCATACACGTGGTCAAGGCATACATAACATATTTTATGTAGTCCCGATGTGGTTTTGGGTGTCTCAGGACATGTGGCCTGTCAGATGGTATCACACGTTGCTATATGTCATGGCGGTTCTGAAAGATGCTACGTGTTACCTAAACGCATTCCAACGGCGTTGGATGGTGTAACTGAAATACTGTTTTTTGTGATGTCTGGTTGTATTTAGCTGGGGAAATACTTTGGTAAATGAGAAAATGTAATGGTATGAACTCTGTTGATATCACGAAATGGATACCTGAATGGTGAACTGTATTTATATTATGAAATAGATACCTGAAAGGTGCACTTGATATATATTAATTGTTTTACACAGTTGCATGTAAAACTACTTCGTGATGTAATAAAACGGACCTATAGCTCTAAACCGACTTTCGTTTTGGGGGCCAAAACCAATTCCCGTTTAGAGCATAGAATGTCTTGAAATCGCCAATGGTCTTGTAATGTGTTCAGAATCACTGTTGGCTTTCTGAATACGCATATACGCGTCTGGAGGCTTTCAAACGTCAGAGAACGTCAACGTCAGGCAACATGGTAGATGTGGTTTCGGGACTGAAATAATAATTATGGGCGGAATAACTATGTCAGGACAACTCTGCGTATTGCCTGTCAAAGTTCTGTTGACACCTGACAAATCAGTGACACAAATGATGACTGATGCAATTCTCTATTTGTACAATGCATTCCCGATTTTGCTCAGGGGATCAGTTGACAAATATTTGCATAGGTTTATGACAGCTTCCTCCGGTGGGGCAGAATACGCTCACCTTTTCGCGAACACCTGTCTGATATTGATTCATCAACACATACTTTGTCATCGTATCGCATTGTGCCAATCACAAAAACTGCTGAATGCGTAGTCAAACAGACACATGAGTTGCATAGTCAGACTTGTACAAACCACAAGGCTTTCAGCAGAGGATTCTTACAGATGTGGAATGGGTTTGTCGTGTCTGTTAATGTCAATAATGGGAGGTGTGTGTATATGGGTCATCTCCAAGGACATATGTGCTGTTTTGGGGAGCACGTGGACATACCTGTGTAGTGTTTGTACACAATAATCTCGGTAGCAGGAGTTGTCACTGTGTGCATTATGCAAAGGTACAATGGTATACTTTCCCCGTGTATCCGGTTGTGAATTGCAGTCTATGAACATGACACCTATGCTCCTGTCTCAGATGGGATTTACTATCACCTGTCACAACAGACGTACACGTTTTTCACTTAACAGAAAGTCTGTTCACAATGTATTCATAAAAGCTCCATATTTAGAAAAATATGTTCAATTACATGAATTGCTCGTGTGCTTTAATCGAATAACCATGGATCCACTGATCAGTTCAATCATAATTTTCTGGACATTCGACTCCTAACGTGGGTATGTTTGGTATAGTGTAATGCTCTCGTTATCGTGTCTTGGTACTGCTGAAACACATGTATTGTACAACCCTACCGTTAAAACATATCGTTATCTCTCAGGACAATTACAAGTTTGTATCATATCGGGAAGATTCAGTCAGCAGGTGTAGGTAATCATACCACATTTGAGAGATAACAACTTAACTCTAGCACTCCGTTTCATGTATTGCTACTGTTATACCACTTGATTGTTACATGTCAAGAACCCCGTGGATTAACGGGAGGTACGCGAATCAGTGCTTAAATAAACCAGTCAAACACCGGTGTGTCGAGCGTTGATCTGTCGAACCTTGTGTCTACGTTTTCCATATTTAGTCGTAATTTTGCGGTTGTATCGGACCTCGGATGACTCGAAGTTTTTGCGCAGGTCCGTTAATCTTCGACATAACCGTGTTTGACTGTACATGCTAGCTGACAAAGCTCGAATGTTCATGATATTGAACCAATACATACACACCATGTGTTTTTATAACCTAACACCCCGTTTCAATTCGATACAGAGGCCTTTCAGCAACACGTTTAGATATCCAAGAGTCAGCTCACAGATGCTACTTTCTCATGTTTGCGCATGGATTATTCCAGCATAATAGGTTTTGTGCGAACGTGTGTATGGCCAAATTAAAAAAGCCCTCACACAAACGTCTACAGTTCACTTTCACACGTCAAACAATAACTAGCCATTTACACTACTCCGGATACAACTCGCCTTTCATGCAACACCCCTGATATATCTGTCAAGTAACGACACATGATCGTAGTCAGAGTATTTTATTTCAGAAAGAAAGGATATTATAAAAAACGGATCGTTCTTTTATAGGTAATATGAATCGTGTTTGTACACAATTGTAATGGAATGGGTGCAATGTATATAGAAGGTGCTTCGCATGAACGTTATTCATCGGAGGACTTAACTTCACATATGATACGACTTCATATTAGAGTATATTTAACAAACACTTAAGTAAACATTATTTCAAAATCTTAAAATCACAAGTTTGAAGATACGATCACAAACAGAAAGTGGTCGTTATTGGAATGCATGAATACATATTTCAGTTAGCATGGGGTAACCACAATTACTTCCGTACATTGTTTGCATCGCAATTAATGCTTTAAAACATGTCGATATCTATCTCCAGCTCGACTAACACTGAAATTTGACATGACTTCAAGAGAAGTCAACAGCTACTGATAAACATTGATATCACCACATCATATCATCAGTGAAACATACACGACTTGTCGTCATAGATAGGCACTTGATAATGTGTACAGATGTACACGTTTGTTGGGTTAGATAGAGGAACACAATTGAAAAACGCCTTCTAACATTGGGTAAAACTTTGTGACGTACCGAAATTATATCCATCGACTTCATAACAGTCAAATTATATTCTTCCGAAATAAAAACTTGCTAATATGATAACGTATATCAAGGACTAAACATACAAAAGAAATATCTGTTCCTACCGTTATTACTTATCGAGCTGGCCGAGATTAGTACACCATGTTACAATGTGTAATGTTGCACAATAGTTTCATCTTAAAATACCGCACTAAAAATCGAAATATCAAAGAAATGAACCACGGCGATTTGTGACTTCTATAGCCTTAATTCGAAGCATAAAAAGGATTATTTTCCAACAGCAATATGTTAAAGTTGTTCCAGATATACATGCTAATGATAATCGATGTTCATATCGATATCAATTATGCGTTTGCATATATGCAACAGACACCCATAACGTTAACGTTTAATGTACAGATATGTATAAAAATAATATACTAAAAAATGTAAAGTATTTCATAAAATGTGTCATGAAATGACGTTATTCAGTCGCCAACACTGTGCATACATTGTACATCAGTCAAAAGTGAAAACAGTCCAATGTAAATTCAAGACACATATAACGTTTTTCAGTCAACGTGCAGGTATATACACCAATACAATATATTGAAAAGGATGAACATCAGGGGGAACATCCATCGTGAAAATTTGTCCAGCTGACGCGCTGCTATAAATGACTTCCGTACCGTGGTAGCTGTTTCTCTGTCACTTTCCTGAGAACAGAAGAAACGTTTAGTGTAAATAGTGCATGTTGTCAAGCTTATAGACAGAATAGACAATTTTATAACGATTATATATCTTGTTAAATGTACGCATGAATGAATGCTTGGCAACAGAACGTGTGTCCATAGATATAAAGGATCTCTTTTGTTGACCAAATGCATGCATTCTTTGGTTTCTCCACAGAACGTAAAACTCTCCTTGGTGCAGTGGTTAGAGCGTCCGCCCGGAAGCGGAAGGTCGCGGGTTCCATCCCCGGCCGCGTCATACCAATAGACTTTAGAATATGGTACTTGTTGGTCCCTGCCTGGCCCGTGGCATTAATGGGTACAAGAAGGACTGATCGGCTGGAAATCAGTATATTGTGTCTTTGTGGAGTATTCATGCTTAACTGCGGCATGGTATCTCAGTGAGCTATCTCTATAAAACCGGGTTAAGCCTGGGCTAGTACAAGCAGCCACACAAACATATGCATGCACGTCGTCATATGAGGGAATATTCTTACGACGTTAAACCCCATTTCAACTCACTCACAGAACGTATCTGTGTGTACATGTATCTCAAGAATGTTACTAAGGGAATATGATTTGGCTTTTCTACATATTGTGTGTTTGTATATAAACCTAGTAAGTGCAATTATGGCGTTAAGACAGAAATGGGAAAATATATAAACATAAAATGCACGCTCAAAATTACTACATATCCTGTACCTCTAATTCAAAGTCATCATTACAAGAGGTCGACTGGCATACTGTTTGAATGAGATCGGTTTTCGCTAGAATGGTTATAAAAGTCAGTGGTGTTTTAGTTATACCTAGACGGTTCTGTTGACAATACTCACTGATGGCTGTAATCTGCTGGTATCGGGTGACTTGGTTTTAGTTTTATATCTTTCTGGGTGGTTTTGAGCCCGTCGTGTTTGTACATTAACATATGCATACTCGAGTAGAGCTGTAAAGACGAAGAACAAGCATATCGACATCCAGACATCGATAGCCTTGACATACGAGACACGCGGAAGTGACGACTGTGCACCGGAACTCTGCGTTGTCATAGTGAGCACGGTGAGGACGCCCAATGAAATTCGAGCAGGGACAGCTCCAATGTCTATCCAGAAAGATATCCATGACAGGATTACTATTAGAACACTGGGCACGTACACTTGAAGGATGAAATAGCCCATGTCTCGTTTTAGTTTGAAGTTGGCCATTATGCAGGCGAATCTTTCTGCAAAGAAAATATGGACAACATTGTTATATATTTTCACTATAATGTTTCTGTGTAAATATTCATGGATAACTGTATATAAGTATTTCGTAAGATAAAATAGAAATGAAATACAATGTGCCTGACTAGTCGAGTCGTCTGATGTGCAGTTTTAACAGAATTGCGCCCCCTTTGCGAGGCCGAATCCTATCATCGAAGGTTTGAATTCTGTTTCGCCGTGATTATGCTTCAGGATTTCACAACACCAAAATCCTTGCTGGTGGGTTAAACCCAAATCCTAAACGTCCAAGAATTTCTCCCACTTAGAGATGCCACCCTCAGAAAACCCATGAAGATCCGGGGTTAGAAAGGGTCTTCAGCAACGCATGTTTATCGTAAGGAGCGACCAACGGGATCGGGTGGTCAGGCTCGTTGACTTGGTTAACTCATGTCATCGTATCCCAACTGCGTGGAACGATGTGCATGATGTTGATCACTGGATTGTCTGGTCAGACTCGATAATATACAGACCGCCGTCATACAGCTGGGATATTGCTGATTGCGGCGTAAAACAACAAACAAACAAAACATTAAACTGAAACACTTTCAGAGTGGTGTTAAAGCTCCACCAAAGTCACTGACGAATGTATGAAAATGTTTAGACGGAGGATTGTATTTAGGGACAATAACACTTCACTCGAATTCATCCGTTCACTTTAATCGCTCTGTACGTGTACCACGTAGAGAAATGGTCTTCAGCAACCTACATGTATGCATGACCACAGGTAGAAAATAAAGAAAACAAGGTTGGCTCGTCGGGTTCGGTGACTGGTTGATACATGTCATTGTATTACAGTTACCTTGCTCGATGCTCATGATTTCAATCACTGTCTAGGTTGGTCCAGGCAAGATTATACAAAGACGCCCGTCATATAGCCTGAATATTACTTAAATGTAGACATAATCGTCATTTCACATACATAAAGCGTGTACACAAAATAACTTGCTATTCATATTAAAGTAATAAGCCCCGATGCGGGATCATGGTTCACGAGGAAGGCAATCACAGATCTAGATATGAAGATGGGAACACTTTCTCTTCCTGGTCATCATGACCTACGTTGCTGTACGTTTTGAACAAGTCCCCCTTGAACCGTTTCAGTCTCCGGTACGACCACAGCCAGACTAAATACAAGGCGTTAAGCAAGTCGCTTTACGTACACTTTACCTGAAAACAGGACCACCCACATCACACTTTATAACAAGTGATATTACTTTCCTTAGGTAAACGTCATATGACACTTTTGTATTAAGACGAAGGTTGACACAGTAAACGGCGGAACAAGACAAAAGCAGGTACATGTTGATTGTGTTACATGCTACATCTGAACGTTCTAAGATCTTCACCATTTGTATATATTGTGTCAGTCTTCTATTGCAGGTACCATGTATATTATGAGAGTCCATTACGAAGTAACTCTATCGCCCCTTATGGGTTTATTACGAATGGGACAAGGTCACGTGGAAGCAGTCGTAAAATGCTGCGTGAAATGATGCCAACACATTTTACAAGTCAACATTTGAAATAAATAGTTTAAAATTGTTTATTGGTTGGAAAACTATTTTTCAACAAATACCTTTGCATCCCTAATTATATCAGAACTGGCATTCTAGGTGAGTAGTTGATACCAAATTCAACGGTAACAAGACCTCTGTGAAATAGTTTTTCAAAATTCATTTCTACAGACAACGCACAGAATAAACGAATAATCAACTTTAACTCCAGAACAATACAACGATTTAGTCATCAATGTTTACTAACATGATGACGAATGATGACTGTGACAAAATGACTTTGCTGTTTTATATTATCATGCCCAAATAAATAGTACAACTATACGGTTTTGGCACCTGTCAAATACAACAAAATTCGAATGAACGTTATCGAAATAGTCATTCACTATAAGAGTTGTGTACTTACTTTCATATACGTCCCGGCACTCCACTATCTCATACTTCTGGAAGTTGAACTGCGGTAGCTCCATGTTCGTGTTGGTTGTTATAGGGTTGAAGGGAGTCCAGGAGAACACCACGTTATCTGTTGTGTATGTGTCTGGAGCACAAGACGTACACTGTACGGTTCCTCTACAGGCTAGCTGTTCTCGAAACGTTCGTAGCCCTACGAACTTCTTAAGCCCATTCTTAACACATTGGCTACGATCAAATTTAAGAATTCTTAGGGCCACGAACGTTTCGAGAATAAGGGCCCAGGTGATCAATAATGGCAACCCGAACATGTTGTGAATAACTACATTGATAAGTAATGAAATAATATGTGTTCCATTATCTGTATTGTAGACCACATATCGGGTCTAAAAAATAGTATGGTGGGAAAAGTAATATATGAGTGAGACGTTCAGGATTGTAAACATTATCTTGAATATTTCGCTCATTTGAGATCTGGACAAGTGTCACTTACTCTCTGTGACATCAACATCGTTGTTGTAAACATGTCACAAAAACTTGGATTTACGACAATATTAATTTTATTTTAATATCCATTAAATGTGGAAATCACTACAGGAAAGAGGCGTGGATTGACCTTAACACAGACGCATGGCATTTGCCAGTATTGTTATGAGAGTGTTTCTTTGTAATTTGCATTATCATTGCTTAGGTGATAGTTATTATGGGTCACAATGTTTAAAGCTATCTCCCATATGTTCAATGGCAATAGTATTTTTAGCGGCACGCCTTTTAGATAGCACTTCAGAGTTGCCTTAACTACTGCCATTGTAAACAACCTTCAATCTGTATATCTGTTCTCACAGTGAATGTCAAGACTCTGATGAGTTAATATTTTATATATTGGTGACCCAATATTTTAGATTTGTGACTCAATTGCATTGTACTAGAGATCTGTATTGTCCTTCATTGTTTGTTACATATATTATTTAATATTTTAGACTTGTCTGTGTTCTATTTTGCTGGTTGAAAGGGGACTCTTAAACCTTTTTTAAACCTAAACGGCAATTTATCAACCATAGCAAAATATTAATGCTGTTTGGTTTTAACTCTGGAAATTGTTACGTCAATTTGATATAAAATAGACATGTTATCTGGGAAAGCCGATAGTCACTCACAACTTTGGATGATGATGGGACAACTCTGTGAGTCCATGGGGTAGCGGTCCAGGAACATGTGACAGCTCAGCGTCATGGACAGCCTAGAACACAGAAACATATAACATCAACAGAATATACACGAAGATATATCAGTTATCCTAATTAACTACAAACAATTCTAACTTGTTCTAAACTGAACACTAAGGCCGATGCTGCAGCAAAAGCAGCTCTCGAAAAGCCCCTATCTCCACTGCTAATCCCATACAGTAACTTCAAACCCACTATCAAAAGCTATACTCGGGACCTGATGCAAAAAAGGTGGGACACTCAAGTAGGAAGAAACAAACTCCATGAATTGAAGCCAACAATCGGTTATACCTACTTGGGTTGTCAGTCAAGACGCAATGAGGTAATTTTACGACGATGTCGTATTGGCAACAGTCGATTTACACATGACTATCTGCTGAAAACGGATGGGGATGGACCCCCCATGTGTGTCTCTTGCGATGAGGTGTTCACCGTCAAGCATATTCTGCTTGAATGCGTGGACTTATCGCCTGCAAGGGACTCACATTATGATGCAACAAACCTAAAAGATCTGTTCTCACGCGTGAGCGCCCATCTGATACTGAACTACCTGAGGGAAGTTGATCTGTATCATAAATTGTAACTGTGAAATGTAACAACCATAAATTGTAACTACGAAATGTAACAAACCGCCTGCCTTTAAATTTGATGCTATGACTTTTTCTGCTTTTGAATGACAATGTAATCAATAAACTTGTTCTAAACTGAACATATTTAATCAAATACGTGTGTGGATGATATTTTCCCTAAACATATCGTTAAAGCGAAAGGCTGCATAGACTGCACATGATCGCACGCCGATGGCCCTGTGATGGCCTCAAGGTCGACACTTGACCTATTTTTTCAGCTTTATGGCTACCTAATGACTTTTAAAAAAATATTTTGTGAGGTTTTTACTTCCCCGAATGTCGCACAGTCGAGAAATTAACTTCTATAAACCCATTATAGCGGTTCAAGTAGTACACATGTCCACGTGTTTCTTCGTAAATACGAGTAGTCTCCCTTGGATCAAGACACCTACAAATGTGCAGTGAAAATGTTTACTTTTTCTAGCAAGTCTATGCATTGTGTGATCGATGTTTCCTGTGGACAAATTTATATGTTTCCTGGTTACTTTGCTCGTGAGTTACACCAGCATCTCACAGCTGCTCGCCTTCCATCATCAAGCTTACACGTCGAGAAATATCCGGAAATAATTGTTCTAGGCTACCTAAATCACCTCTCACTCAATCAAACTGAGGCTTGTATCTGTGCATATAAAAATTCACAAGAATCTATCACGGTCGCCTCCAGGCAAACCGTGCCCCACATGTCAACTTACTGCATACAATGTAATCATCGGTTTGCAAGTGCACGTTGTTGATCTATATCAGATGTGGATAGCTGTGTATCCTGACAATGGACCATCCAACAGGGAGGTGCGTCCACCACGTTAATAGAAATTTGGTTCCATAATATTTGCTGATGCTCGCCGATACAATAGTCTAATGTTGCTTTTTCTGTCATTACCGATAATGTCTTCCCATTTTAATAAAGGATAAAGTTGACATCATTCAATGTTCTTTCTTTTATTACCCAGGAATCATATTCATTTTTGCGAGTTTGAAGTAAAATTGTTGTCGTAAGGGTCGACTAACGGGATCGGGTGGCCAGGCTCGCTGACTTTGTTGACACATGTCATCGGTTCCCAATTGCGTAGATCGATGCTCATGCTGTTGATCACTGGATTGTCTGGTCCTGACTCGATTATTTACAGACAGCTGCCATATTGCTGGAATATTGCTAAGTGATTAACCCGTAACAAAATATCGTCACAACAATCATAGGTATATTTATTGGATTCTTCATTAATAAAGGCGAGAGACGTTTTATAGATGTCGGGATGTGGTGTCAGTGTCATTAAACTTAGAATACAAGAACTAATTCATTTATCTTGATCCTGCCTGTGACGGGGGTTGTTGTACAGAGAGGTCAGCCAGTAGCGACCAGTCCAGTATGAACGTAAATTAACAAAACCATCCTACCTCTCTCTCACTTAGCCCCTCTCTCTCTCTCCTCTGAAAACCGTTCCTACGCCCCCGAGTATGGACATGGTCAAACTAGAATACCAGTTCACTAAAGGTAGAACTCAAGATACTTCAATTTACACAGCAGCATCACAAGCTATATTGATCATTGAAGCGCCCTGTCATCTCATATGAATCCTCCAGGATACACGGGGAAGACTATACACCATTCATAGGGCCAGGCTGACAGTCTATTGGAAGCGGGGCTGTTCATACTATACTAGGTCAGTGTGGCAATAACTAATTACATATTTACAGATAACATCATACACTACCAACTACTTTGTCTATATTTGCACTAACAATGTAGAACAGATTTCGGAGGCTATTTTCCAATCCATAGATTGATAAAACACTGACAGACAAAACACCTGATGTCAGCTTAGAAAAGTTCCTTTGAATTCATTACTGTCATACCCTTCATTATAGCAGGTCATGTTCAAGTTGTCAGAGATACTAGTGATTTTGGGATCTAAATTGATGCAATACGTCTCAAAGAGTTACTTCCCTTGGGCTGACACAATCACTTTGATTTTGACGCCGTCCCCGTTGTTTTAGTAATTGTGATTATCTCGTAGCCATCCATGTATAACTCGTTATGGGGAAAATGTTTCATTTTTTAAATGTACTGTCATCAATGTTTATAGAGTAGAATTGTAACTCGAAAGCAGGTTTTTGCTCAATGGTTGTGTGAGAACGAATAGTGTATAAAATGTTGTTTGTATTAAGTGATCCACTCGTGACAATTTTAGGTTGTACTGTTATTTTATTTGTCACTCCCCGTAAGCAGCTATCTCCCTTGCTCACTGCCATTCTACAGTTTCCGTGAACCGTAATTATTCACTCCAACTCCATTGTTTTGATTTGTTCAAACTTGTGAGTTTCAAAACCGCATGTTAGCGGGAGCACTTAGATTAGCCTCGAGTGTGATAATGTTTGTAGAAAAGTATGCAATTCATCATTATTATGGCCACGATGTGTTTGCATGAAATTGTCAGTTTACTCATTGTATTGTAGTCGCATCCTACTAGGCAAGGAAGCCCCGTCCGGTTGTATTCGCCCTCATTGAACCACTGCAAGGTGGCGTCATACGCCGAGGGTCTCACCAAATCATTCTCGCTGTGGATTTTACTGTAGCATTGTAGTGACATGGCTGGATGGTTTCGTTTAACGCCGCAATCAACAATATTCCAGCTATTTGGCGGCGGTCTGTAAATAATTCAGCCAGGACCAGACAATGCAGGGATCAACAGCATGAACAACAACTTACAACCAAGTCAGCGAACCTGACCACTCGATCCCGTTAATCGCCTTTTACGACAAGCATGGGTTACTTGTATTGACATGGTGTGATGCAGGTCACGGCAGATGATGTTTTGTCCATAAAAGCGCTGAACCCATCTACTGAATTCAAGGTCGTCTGTTGAGCACTTATGCACACGTCTAAATAATGCACACGTTTAATTCCATATTGTTGACAAATTAAGTTCACTAACCTTGAGCGAGTCTATTGAAGTTATATAATCTTGAATGCTATAAATCAATACATTAAAAAACGACCCTTTCATCTTTTGCTAATTGAGAAAAGAGATGTGTGCCTCGTGCAACCCTGTGTCTTGCATCTTGGTGAATCAAGGCATCAGAGCTGGCACTACTACCAAGCTTACCTTAGACTGTAATTAACTGTGCCGTTCCTGTAAAGATGTATGAGTCTGTTGGGTACAGTAATATTGTGGAAAGCAGCCTTCTTTTCATTCTGGAAATATACATCAGGGACCCACACCTGATCTAACATCCGGGTATCCAGTTCGAGCCAATCAGATTTTGTATAGTTCATGAAAGCCAGCCGACTGTCGATCCATTTCTCACGGAGGTATATGTTGATTGAATAATCCTGGACATAGAACAAACGTTGAAATAAAAGTAAACAAACAGATATAGTAACACAAATGATAACTGCGTGTTGTAAGAATCAGGTCAGCTTCAGAGTGTTGTTTGTACTACTATCCATTATTATTAACGGTCCAAAAGCAACAAATATTTGCAATTCAGATATTGAAAACGTGTATTTAGATTTAATACGACTCGTACTCAATCAGAGGCTACATCACCACTGAACATCCAACTCCATACATCACCACTCAACATCCTATCACAAACATCACCAGTCATCATCCCACCACTAATATTCCCACTCAACATCCAACTCCATAAAACGCCACTCAGCATCCAACTCCATAAAACACCACTCAACATCCCATTACAAACATTCCCACTCAACATCCCACTACATAAAACGCCACTCAACATCCCACTACATAAAACGCCACTCAACATCCCATTACAAACATTCCCACTCAACATCCAACTCCATACTACCACATTCCCACTCAGCATCCAACTCCACTCAACATCCACTCACATAAACCACCACTCAACATCTAACACTACATAAAACACCACTCAACATCCCATTACAAACATTCCCACTCAGCATCCAACTCATAAACATTCCCACTCAACATCCCACTACATAAAACACCACTCAACATCCAACTCCATAAAACACCACTCAACATCCCATTACAAACATTCCCACTCAGCATCCAACTCCATAAAACACCACTCAACATCCAACTCCATAAAACACCACTCAACATCCCACTACAAACTCAACATTCCCACTCATCCCACATCCCACTCAATCGTACATAAAACACCACTCAACATCCCATTACAAACATTCCCACTCAGCATCCAACTCCATAAAACACCATTCAACATCCCACCACAAACATTCCCACTCAGCATCCAACTCCATATGGGCGGTGGGGTAACCTACTGGTTAAAGCATTGCTCGTCATAAAAGACCACTGGTTCGATTCACCCATTACAATGTGTGAAGCCCATTCCCCTGGCCGTGATATTGCTGGAATATTTCAAAAGCGGCGTACATTATCACTCAACATCCCACCACCACTGTGCATCTAACTCCATAAACATATACAGCACTCAGCATCCCATTAGTAACATTCCCACTCAGCATCCAGCTCCATAAACATCAGCATTCAGCATCATCACAACATCAGCATTCAGCATCCAGTCAATTACATCAGCACTCAGCATCAAGTCTCACATAAAATCGCCACTCAGCATCCATCAGCACTCAGCATAACATACATCACTCAGCATCCAGTCACTTACATCAGCACTCAGCATCCAGTCACATATATCAAATCAGCACTCAACATCCTCACACATACATCAGCACTCAGCATCCAGTCACATAAATCAGCACTCAGCATCCAGTCACATACATCAACACTCAGCATCCAGTCATTACATCAACATTCAGCATCCAGTCACATACATCAGCATAAAGCATCCAGTCACTTACATCAGCATAAAGCACCACTCAACATCCCATTACAAACATTCCCACATCAGCACTCCATCCAGTCACTTACATCAGCACTCAGCATCCAGTCACTCCCACCAGCACTCAGCATCCAGTCACATAAATCACCATTCAGCATCCAGTCACTTACATCAACACTCAGCATCCAGTCACATACATCAGCACTCAGCATCCAGTCACTAAAATCAGCACTCAGCATCCAGTCACTTAATCAGCACAGCATCCAGTCACTTACATCAGCACTAGCATCCAGTCACCACTCAACATCCAGCTCACATGAAACGCCACTCAACATCCCACTACATCAACACTCAGCATCCAGTCACTTCCATCACTACTCAGCATCCAGTCACTACATAAAACGCCACTCAACATCCAACTTCATAAAACCCCACTCACTTCATCAGCAACATCCATAAAACACCACTCAACATCCAGTTACAAACATTCCCACTCAGACATCTAACATCCATAAATCCAGCACGCTCAAGCATCCAGCATCCAGTCACTTACATCAGCACTCAGCATCCAGTCACTCCATATCAGCACTGGGGCATCCAGTCACTTAATCAGCATTCGCTTCCAGTCATGCCGAAGACCCAGCATCGATTCACCACATCAGGTACAGCATGTGTCAAGCCCATCAGCACTCAGCATCCAGTCACTGGCCGTCAGCATTCAGCTGGAATCACTTGCAAAGCGGCTCAGCATCCAGTCACTTACATCAGCAACTCCAGTATACAACCACTGTGCATCCCACCACCACCACATATAACAGCATTCAGCATCCAGTCACTTACATCAACACTCAGCATCCAGTCACTTACATCAGCACTCAGCATCCAGTCACTTACATCAGCACTCAGCATCCAGTCACTTACATCAGCATTCAGCATCCAGTCACTTACATCAGCACTCAGCATCCAGTCACTTACATCAGCACTCAGCATCCAGTCACTTACATCAGCATCAGCATCCAGTCTCAGCATCCAGTCACTTACATCAGCACTCAGCATCCAGTTACTTACATCAGCACTCAGCATCCAGTCACTTACATCAGCACTCAGCATCCAGTCACTTACATCAGCTCTCAGCATCCAGACACTTACATCAGCACTCAGCATCCAACTCCGTAATCACCACTCAGCATTACACACATAGAACAGCACAACCTTCTCCAGTTCTAAGGGTGACGTGTGGTCACTAACATGAAGATTTCAACCAAAAGGGTTGATACAAACCCATTCATTCCAACTAATGAATACTCCACTTTCATTTATTCCCATAGCTCCACTTGTTACGAGTTTCGCTGCATTAAAGAGCCACTAATTAACACTTTTTAAGAATTCCCGATAGAATAATTACTTGACTGACATATGAAGTCTGACTCCGGACAATTATCTATGTCGTACTGTGCCATATTCAATAATCGGTAATTGAAAAGCATTGCCTTGTCTGCTGAAAGACTGTTCGGAGTTTACGAAACTGAACAACCCGACAATATAAAGAATACCTACAGTCAGGTTTGGCACGAAACCTGAGAAAACGAGACAGATCGATTGTATAGTTTGAATGATTTATACGCTAACCATAGACCCTTCGTTGATGGAATCGAAGCTGAGTATGTGGATCTGGAGGGTAACATTCGTCGGCTGGTCTGAAATGCAAAACATTTAGTTAGCCTCATTGAAACGTAAGGCACTCGTGAGAGATTATGGCAATTAGTCTTGGAGAGCATTCTGGCATTAAAGTTACAATCCATGGCACAAAAAGTTATGAGGCAGTGTTATTCCTTGTGTAACAATGTTTAAGCTGTTATGCATCGGACCTGTGCATTCCTTAAGGGACATCGATGTGCTATATTTAGACTGGTGCTAGATTTAGACACAGGCCTGGAATGTACCACAAGGAGCTTATTCCAGAATAATCTTTCTTATTGAATTTTGCAGCGTCGTTTTCTTTTAGCCTTTAAGGGGAGCTACCTATTGCCTCTCATCTTACATGACATCCTATGTTACAAGACGACACTGGGTGTGATGATCATTAAGCCCTGGCGCTTAGAGGTAAATATCACCATCAGTGTCAGTCTTTATTGTCATAATCACTGCTCTTGTATTGGATTGTCTGTGACTTGTGCTGCCTCTCCATTTTGTACTGAGATAGTAATACCTTTGTATTGAATTGTCAATACAATTGATAATTAGATCACATAACTTTGTTGGTTTCACACCTAGTTCTTTTACGGAATGGTTCCCGGTTCCCGGTTTAGTTACAGCTTGGGACTCAACCCGTAACAAGAGGCAGTCAACTTCAGCGCACGACAATGAAAACTACTTCACATCGAATGTAACATTAAATTTATGACATTTCCAAGATCATTTCAACCTGTTTCTGAAAGTTCAATGTATTCGTGGCTTCAAATTTAGTTTTATACTTTCCTTATGACCAATAATAACCCTCAGGCACTGAGGCTTTTATATCTATTCATGAAAATTAGAATGCTATATGATCCGATATCAGCTTTATGGGTGGAATCCTGAGATCAAATTATGAATGTTCTGGCTTGGAGTAAACCGCCCACTTCCCCGTGCAGGGATATGTGGAATATTAAACGTAAACGTTCACTTCTTTGAGTAGCATTTAGAAGCTGGCGTTTTGAACAACGAGGAATGTTCTATGGATAAACAACTTCTATATTATTAATATATGCGACTTGCTGGATAACGGTGTTAGTAGCTACACCCAGACGTTGCTCATATCAATATAAAGAAATTGTATATTCATAGAACTCTCCTCGTTGTAGTAAACGTCCAGTTTGCCTCTACAGAGTTTTCAACCAAAAGGTTACTCTGTCTACTAGTCTTTTCGGTACTTCTGTGCCTCACCTTCATGAGTGAGTTAAAATTTACGTCACATCGGCAATATTTCAGCAATGTCGTGACTGTCTCACATTAAGTGTGATGGTGTTAATGTTATGGCTAAATAATTGTTTCCCTAATTGATAGTGTTTATCATATTAACCTCTTTCGTAATCAGGAGGAATTCTGGGATCATGTGATGAATTCTTCAATATCTGGTCAAGCAGTTCACGTCTACAACGAAGAAGTACATACAAGTCAATGAAGGTCACATTTCAAAGTTTGTCGATGAAAGTAAAACTATCTGTAACGTAAAATGCAGTAGTACAATAAATCGTTGTTTACTGTTGAGGTATTCCTTAAGGTAAGTCCCATGTATGAGCTAATACATGTACATAAACTGTTGATAATGACAACCACCCTACATTGTCAGGTATTTCAAACCAAACAGTATTTCCCAATTTAAATTGTTTTATGCTAGAGCGAACTTCGCATTAAACAGAATAAGTAACGTCGAGTATTTGAGCCCGACGGTTTAACTGACGGAAGTCAACTCGCCTGCTCAGACCATTGTGGATCTGCGATGTTGCTTGAGGCAAGTGTAGAATTGTCAGAAGAGTTGGGAAGATCGCCAGCAATGCCCGATACAGCATCATCCGACCGCCCTGTAAGGAAATAGGAAATGAGATATGAGATGAGATGAGATGAGAATAGGTGAGATTACTTTGAAGTTATTTCACATATGTGTCACATATGTGGTTTTAGAGCTATAAACGTCCATCACGACAGCAAAGCCCACAAGTATGACGCTGACACATCTGCAAATACAATTCTGGAATCGATGCATAGGTTGAAATTAATGCGCACTGGAAGGTGTATATGAGATTCAAACCAACGTCATACATTTGTGCCATGCCCAAGGGACGGAACTATATACATACATGTTGGCGTCTCAGAAGCATGGGCCACCTCTTCCTATTTATTATGAGTGTGTATCTGTGAGAAATTGAATTTTACGTCTGTAGCAGTTTGTACTGTTGATGTTACTCAGGTGAGACAATAGTTGAGATAATAATTATGTAATTCTGAAAGAAATGATATCAATGTTATACGTCTATTGTTTCATCATTTCTTAGTAAGACGTTCTTCTTACATACCGACTGGGGATAGAATAATGGTTTTACATAGTGTGACATGTAATGACTCGAACCCATGTTTTTGCATGGCACGCAAACAATTTAATCCCAAGTCTACATAACAGTCCTGAAGTATTACATATCCAAAACGAAAGGTTTAAATGAATAACAACATTATCTCTTGCCATATATCCTGGAGACACACACAGAGAAGGTAAATGTAAAACATATTCTGATGGACTGAAAGTCACCAACATAAAATAACACTATAAGGACAGTTCACTCATAGACCAATGCTTGTGGAGTGTGGGCGTGGCAGTTGGGGCGTCAGCAGCCAGAGACCAGCGGCTACCCATCTATAACTGACGTAAACACACAGTGGGAAATGTCTAAATGATGGCCTGTAATCTGTCAGACACGCCACTTGTTAGACAGTTCCAGTAACGTTTGTTTGATGACTAATCCAATGAATGGTGCCCACGATTTAAATGAATATTGTTTTCACCCGTTTGTCAGGATACAGTCAGGGAAGATCACCACAAAATGCTACTCATATGTTAAATGTCAGCACCAATGATGCAATGATGATATCGGCACACACGCAGGTCATTAATACCACCTTATTGAGTGCAGCAGCGGCAATAAGGACGACGTTATCGTCTTTTCCCCTCGCTTGTAGTTCCCTCAGTCTTGCCAGTTTGGTTGTCTGACAGATGAAGTACAACTGAATAATGCTGATGGCTGAAGGGGTAATTTACAAGCAGGCGTAAAAGACCCCGACACGACATCAAGATGGACCTTCCCAATCGAGTTCATTCTTCACACGTTACATTCTATTAGGAGCCCCTTATTCATTTCTCACGTGTCTGAGGCGGCAAACGTAGACTACAGAGTGCACGTCGTCCTTAGTGATTGATCAGTTCCATCATGTGGCAGAGTGGTGTTAAGGGATCACATGGTCACTATGTACAACGTGTTCCATGTCGCACTCAACCACGCTTCACTGCTTCAGTCAAGTTAGTCACACATTCAATCATATACACGCGTAGGGGCAGAACCGTTAAGTTTGTTATTGTATTTCTTTGGCAAAACGAACGTGGCCGTAGTCCATGACCTCCTCCAGAAAGCTGGTATGCCAACTGACATTATGAGGTTTCATAGTTGAGTGCGTTGATGCATCAAGTATTCTTCATGCACTTGGAATGATCAGTTTCACTGAAGGACACTACGTATAACGTGCATGTACGTTATCATTCACCTGTAGGAAAGCAATACTTAATTTGTCTTGTTTAGTGACCAATATCCAGATGTACCCTGCATACAGTGGAAGAATATATGACATGCATATATTTCTTAAATACCACTGAAATAATTTGAAAGTTGAGTTTACGAACAGTGCATTTCCTTCCAAACTGTGTACGCTGGCAATCCGTATGGCTTGAAGCAAAGAAGCAAAGCAAACAATTTAAATGTGGTGAAGTAACTATTCATGTGAACAGATACATGAAATTTAATCATATAATAATAATTTCGTTTTCTGTAGATAATATGAGTGTGTCACTTTCAAACATGTTAGAAAATTCTACTTCATATGGAAATTCAATACTATTAATTTAAGAATCATGCAGGTGCATTGCCCATCGTTTGGAAATTGTAAATTAATCTCAATATTTGACAATCATAATCGACCTAATGATACATTACACTTTGTTATATGGTTCACAAAGTTGCAGTTATGTGAACAAATGTGTTTATGCGATATTGACCCATTGTCACAAAAAACATTGAATGACAAATTGCCGCAAGCGTGTACAGTAGTGATGGTAATTAGATCGCTAACATGTATACACGGACTGTTGGATGTTCGTCACGAATCAACAGGCGTATATGAAGCAAGACGGTTCTGCCGAGTGGAGAATAACCAAGTGAGGCATGTACGGTGTATTTCTGGCTTTTGTCATTACACGTGAAAACTGGGATCATAGATCCGACAGTTACCAACGTCTAACTACATTATTATAGCACCCAGAAGCATCCACGGTGCTATCGGTGTTAAGCTGCCGACACGACTACACTTATATTACATGCTTATGCTTATAATGTCCTCGGAACATCGTCAGGGACCACTGATTGCATTTAATGGGATTACTTTATCGGCCATTACTCCCCGAAACTATCGACAACATCGACAAGTAATACGGTTACCTGCTCATATCAAGCAATAAATATACATTTTATCCTAATGATATCAAGGAATACTGTTTTATCGAAGCTCCCCAGAAGATACAGCGATCGATCCCTTAATCTGAAACACGGTCGTTGTTATGTCCGGAAGAATGAAATTAATTTCGTTCTTGAAAGGAAACAACGGCGGATGTCCCAGATCCATCGTTTAACGGCCATTGCACTTAGCCATTGCCCTTTGTGTAAGCGGTAGCTATAGTTAGACATCTTGTAGGGATACTCTGTAGAGGGATCACATGGGCAATTACATGATGACATGATGACATGAATACAAGATGACGACGTCGTTCAGTTGACTGGCTTTCTTTACTTGTAATTATATCCATATGCAGTGTAGTGATAATTACACTGAGTGAGTATGAATTTACGCCGCTTTTAGTAATATTCCAGAAATATCAAGGCAGGGGACACCAGAAATGGGCTTCACGCATTGTACCAATGTTGGGAATCGAACCCGGGCCATCGGCTTGAAGAGCGAACGCTTTAACCACTATGCTACCCAACCGCCCTGATAATTACAGACACAACTGTATATTGACTAACCAGGGAGTCTGTAATTAGGCCATTTGTATTTGGGTTTATCTCCAAACACAACCAGCAAGAGAGCGGGGGCGGGAAAACAGTATATAGAATGTACACAGGCGTAGAAAAAATGACTAAGGGTGAGTTAATAATGTATGGCTTGGGGGGTGATGATGAATTTTATGGAGAAGCGTGTGCAATGTGAATGAACCCTTGAAGATTAATGTACAAAGTAACTAATTTTCACGTACAAAATCAATGAACCCTCCCCACACACAACACAAACACACACACTTTCCATAATTTCTAAGCATTCCTTTTAACACTTTCACACACAAAATTGCTGACGCCCCTAGTACATGTGTACAAAATGGGTGAATCCCCACCCCACCCCACCCCCATTCCCCTGAAAATCACATCACCCCACTAGCCATAAATTACGAACTGTCCCTAATTGTGAAAGTTATTTTAAAAAATTCTAAAATTCTAGATACCATGATAACTGTCTTTAAATTCACTTATGACTATGATCCGACACACTCTTAATTATATTCGGATTACGAATGATCTGACCTGATTTGAGGCATGTTCAAGGTATAAATATTTTCTATCACGGTATGATCAGGGTATTAATTCTCCAAATCTTCCGGTTGCAAAGGATGGATGAAGCAAACGGTAGTACTGCTAGCTCCAAGTGCACTCACCTTATGTGCAGGTTGTATGCGGGACCGATTGCGCAGGTAATTAATAAACGTGAGTTTAACCTTTAGAATAGGTACTCTAACACCTAAGTTTCCAAAGCGGCGGAGAAATTGAGATAAAAAAACTCGTATATTATTTCACTTCGGAAATATAATTAGGGGCGGAAGTGAGATGAACAATATACGGACAACCTCAGAACCAGCGTGGACCATGCAGCAATGCTGATCAAATAATTGGTTTCTGTAACTGGTAGAGAGTGTGAAGACGTATGCAGTAGGTGTTGTTTGTTGGTCTTGATATCAACCACTTGTTTATCTAGGTGCGTTATTACCAGTGGTTGTGCCGAGGAAATAGTTGGAAATCTTCTAGTTATTTAACTGATAATGTTTTGCTAGTATATGTCTCGTGAATGTTACGAAACTGTGTTTTTCCAAAACCATTTGATAAGTACTTTTAATTGTCTTAAAGGACGCGTGTGCACATTGGCTGTAACTCCATCACTTGTTTTATATTAGGAAAGTGTACAGTACTTCGTATTGATGTTAAATGAAGAAAGACGTTAGAATGAAATGAATTATTTCCCTGACAACAGACATGTTTAAGATATTAGGACACATCACGAAAGCAAAACAAGCAGATGTCGTCTACTACCGCCTCCCGTATTTTCAAAACAACTTTATGGGCAAGAAGATTACTGCTATTGCATGTTTACCTCTTCAGCTACATCAACGACTCAGCCAGCAAGCTGGTATCAATGATAAAATAGTAGAGTCGTTCCGAGAGGATCCATTACACAAACTCCATCCAGAATGAAAGAGATCCACATCAGTTTATTTCTGACTGTTTAACAAAAATCGCATTAACAGCAGTTTCTCTGAGCGAGCATCAATGACTAGTAATGGAATATAAAACTAATCTTTCTTGCTCAAATAGGATTCCACGTTCCACTAAGATCCCATGAATTTGTATTGTCATCCATATTATTATCCATCAAAATGAGATCGAAACAAATGTGCATTCTTAGTAAATCACACATTTTCGACAAGTCATATAGAATTCCA